AATTGCATGGGCTTCAGAACTGATGCCGAAGTCCTGTGAGGATAGCAACTATCGACGCAACCAGAGACACATTCCCAAGTCTCGCTTGAAGCTGCCATGGTTGCAGGCAACAATCCGTGCACCTGGACTTCAGACGGTCCGGACATTCAATGCTCCATGGCTTGACAGTAGTTTCCATGGATAGGGGGACCCTAATATAAACCCCCGGAAATCCTGATTATTGGCCTCCGCATGCATTTAGCATCTTCAAGCCTTGAAGCTTCTTGTTCAAAGCAATGCGACTACAGAGCTTGGTAAGGCTCAGATGTCGTCCCTGGTTGCCTGCGAGAAGGCCCAACCATTTAAATTTATGTGGAGGAGCAACACCATATCGAGGCTGTCATGCGCAACTGCTGGTTTGTCAGGCACGCGCGGCATATCGGACCTTGCGAGAAGAGAGTACGCAGGATGACGATCAAGACGCCTAGTATCGCAAGGAAGAAAGCTTAGCCAGATTAGATGACATTAGATTGCTATATGGTACCTTGTTGCGGCTATACCAGACTGGAAGGGAGGAATAACGTAAGAGAGATCTCACTTACGAAGAAGAATGATAAAATTATGTTCATAATCTATACATATTATCGATAGATAATTCTTCAATCAAGAAATACCTCAATATTACGGCGCGGCCACTTGCGGTCATTTCGCTCGNNCTCGCACGCGGCCTAGGTTTTCCGGTTCAGCTTGAAACTGCCTCCTACGGGCTCCCTAGGGGCTCTAAAGTCTAGGAGATTTTAGAGCCCTTTGGAAAAGCTAGAGGCTCTACAGTCTCAAAGGTTTTTGGTGCGGACGGCGCGACCAACAATCTCGGAGATTATTGGTCGCGCGGCCCTTGCCTCCGGAGCGGATTTGCGTGTGATTTATCTCTCTTTAGCTGGCTGCTCGGCGGACCGCATAGACCCGGGACGGAGAATTAAAATCTTTCAGAATTTATAGGTTGGCCGTATCTGTCCACGGGTATTTATGCGCTTCCCCGAGCCGCGGCGCAGATAGCCCAAGAAAGATAAATGAGGCGGAAAGACCGACCTGGATGCGGGGGCCGGGCGACCCTAAATCTCCCGAGATTTGGAATCATTTCTCTCTCTTCGGCTATCTGCGCGGCGGCTCGGAATAGACGCCGGGGCGGAGATCTAAAATCTTTTAGCATCTATTGGGCTGGCCGTTTTTGGTCTCGAGCGGTCTCATACTTTGATTGATCGTAGAGATTCACGTGCAATCTTCTCTGTTCCGCGTGAATTATCTCTCTTTGAATGTCGGCGCGGCTGTTCGGAGGAGCGCGTAGATCCAGGACAGAGAATTAGAATCTTTCAGAATTTATAGATTGTTCATATCTGTTCAGAGAGACTATGCGTTCCTCCGGGCCGCCGTGTAGATAGCCCAATAGAGATAAATGAGGCGGAAGGACCGCGCTGGATGCGGGGTCGCGCGATCAAAGAGCCGCGTGATCAAAAAAAAATCTTCTCTCCGTCGCTATCTGCATAGCGGCTCGGAAGAATGGGAAGATTTGAGGACGAGATCTAAAATTAGGATCTATATCTTATATATGAACTTAATCTTGATAATTCATTGATCGTCATAAGTAATTTTACATATTATTTGGGTATCGGATTTCTCGTTCTCAAAAATAAATGTTCCGTTTCTGTAGGCAGCAAGCTAATTCTAGTTGTTATATATATTTATATTCAAGAAGAATATTATATAGCGAGGTCAGAAATGAGGACAGCCTAGAATTAAAGTAATTAGCAGCCTGACGAGGAAAAATGATTAACAATTTCGGCTTACGAAAATATAATCTACGTAAAGTAAGATTGGATTTTAGAAGATTTTATAAATATTCTTTGACTCAATATTGCAAGCTTTGGGATGAATGAATTTGATACAAATTCGTTAGAAGGATGCGATATATGATGGGGGTTGTGCAGGGCAGGTCTTGAGATGCAGATGGGATTCTAGCAAATTTGACGGAGATTCGTTGGGAGGCGCTTGAGGGGGAAGGACTTGGGAGATGGATTGGGAGGACGAATAAGTGCCGAGGGGAGGGGTTGGAATAAGGATTCCGCTACGAATAGGGTTGGAATGAGGCCGCAGATCTCCGCAGCGACGTGGACTCCCAATTTGCCACGATTGATTCTTAGTTTGCTTCACTGAAATATACTCCAGTCTATCATGTCTGATAAGAGGCAGAGAACTGCTCCAGGCCCCAGCCTGTCAGATTGACTTACCTCAAGGAGGCATCGGTTTTGGAAATTCGTTTGGGGCTGTTACCCCTTTTCATCGCATAGTAGCGCTATGCATGCCCTGATTGGCAACCAAAAGGTAGTGAGGGCTACCTTGGATTGGGCCAATATTAATTCTCTTTACGAGGCGCGCTGTGCTGGGTGCCGTGGACGTCCTCCTCTGCCAAGAAACAACCCTCAGTCCGAGGGGAGAAACAAAAGATCATCCAGTCTCTTAGCGGTTTCCGACGAAATGCTTTTTGGGAGCTGGACCTCATAACGGTTTTAGCACGGGGGTTCGCGGAGTTGCGGAGCAGTATGTCTAGGACTGCCAACTTTTGAGGTCAGAATGTTTGGGCACCTACAAGCATACCTTAGCGATGGCCGCTTTCAACACCTGATTGTCTTCTTGGAAGGTGTTCAAATCCATATCTTCAACGTTTATTGCAAGGTCAGTGACTCTTCCTATAACGAGAAATTCATGCGGGAACTCCAGCACTACGTGGCAGGTTTGGGCAATGTCCCTAATTTTCTCGGGGTGATTTCCAATCCAATGATTCCTTCCTCCGTGTTTCAGTTGTTGTTTCACCATGGCTGGCAAAGTCTTGTTACGCTCTTTGGTCTTGAAGGAGTGGCTGCCTGATGTCAGGGGGGAAATTGGCATCGGGACTCTGCCTTGCGCACAGTCAATGATTTGGTGTTGGTTACTGGTTAGGCTGCCTGAATGGTTGAAAGCTTTGAACATTGTGTGGATCTCAATACCAATTTCCAATCATTGCGCATTGGGGACAAAGGGCCGGGCCATGCTCCTTTACGAGCGGTCGTATCCGCTACTGCGCTCATTAATGCCAAAATCACGGTGCTCCCCTGGGAGCGTGCTGGGCCCTCGGTTGAGTCCTGGCCTAATGAAAGATGCGGCTGATCTTGCTAAGGAGGTGTGGGATCAGCATGCTTCTGCATTCCAATCTGCCACGCATGCAGGTTCACCTGATGGTGCATATCGCATTTGGTCCTCCGCTGCCACAGAGTTTCTTTCGAGGCGGGTGGAGATACAGTGGCCCCCGCGTGGGGCTTTGGCCAAACCTTAGGTCGTGCCTGCTGCTGGGTTCACAGGCTACAGTGGCCCTGCTGAGCCCCATCGGCTCAGGGAGGGGCGCCGCGCTGCGCGGTCTTTGAGGGAAGGCTTGTGCATCTTGACCCGCATTGGGGATAGTAATATGTGTCTTCCTGATAGAAGCCGGTTTGATATCACTTGGGAGCGCGCCCGTCGGCTCGCTCGCGAAATTTTTGATCATGCATGACCTGAATCCCCAACACACATGCAAATTACGGAAGCGCTACTTTCCTTAGAGCTTGAATTGGACGCTCAGCTGGGCGTCATTTTTTTGCCAGGCGCCTCAATTGGACGCAAATGGTCCATGTCCATGATTCTGATATCAGGTCTTCCAAAGGCGTTTTTGGCCCCTTGAGAGGGCCTGCTGCGCCAAAATTGCAATCCTTGCGGGTTGACGGGTTCCCTCACTTTCGATATCAATGGCATCTTGGATCAGGCCAAATCGGCTTGGTCTGAAATCTTTGACAGAACCAATGCACCTAACCTTGATGCTTTCTGTATGAGTATGCAGCAGAAATTGCAGCTATGGCTGCGCCTTGCGACCTTCCTGAGATCATTGGGGATGACCTTATGGATCAGGTCCAGCGGCGATCACGGGATTCAGTAGGGGGACTTGACAGCTGGCGCACCTTTGAGCTCCAGTCGCTTCCTTTGGTATTTTGGAATGCCATTACTCTGCTTTTGCAACTTGTTGAGGACACAGGTCGATGGCCGGCGAGCATGCTCAGCATCAATGTTAGCGTGCTAAGTAAAGGTGAAGGCACGGAGCCTTTGAAATTGCGACCTATTTCATGCGCCTCGGTTATCCGGGCCTCTTGGGCTAGTCTTCGCTTTCGACGCATCAAGCCTTGGCTTTATAGATTTTGTCCTCCCGCGGTCCTTGGGGAGCCCCTGGAACAAGTTCTGGACATGGCGTTACGTTGAGGCAAGAGGAATACCTTCATGGTCTGGGCCCTGCATTTAGCGCCATATTCCCTGACAAGACTAAATGTTTCGATAAGATTGTCCTACCCATTTATTGCGCTTTGGACTGCCCTTGGGGGTCCGCCTAACGTGGTCTGTGCTCTGGAAGGTTTCCATGGCAACCTGACGGCGTTGCGGGAGCTCCGTGGCGTTCCACCGCTCCTTCGCAAGGATGCGCCCTATCAGTTGCCATGATCCACGTCTCGCTGGGTGTTTGGAGCCAGCGCAACCTGCAACTGGGTCTTCAGCCTCGGGCTTATTTTGATGACAGCAGGGTGAGTTTCCCTTCAACAGATGCGGGCGCAGCTAGCACAGCTTGGCGTGAACTTCAGTTGTTCGATGCGCGTAGCGGCCAAGAAACTAATGATGGGAAGTCGTTTGCGGTCGTCTCGTCCTGGCCTTGCCCTCATCATCATGACAGATACTGATGGTGAGCTCGAGGTTCGTGCGCAAGGGAAAGTCCTTGGCCATCAAGCGGTAGGGGGGGAAGCTGCGTAGGGTGTTGGTCAGCACGGGGAGGGCTCAGACATGTTGCAGCCCCGTGCATTTGCTGCGCGCGATTGGGGTCGCACCTCGTGCTGACGAGAGATATTTTGCTACAAAGTTGTGAGATCGGCAGACCTGCCGCTTTAGGCAGGCTGTTGATTTTGGCGAAGTTCGAGGGCATGCAGTTCAAAACGTATGATTGCGACAACTGCACGTCAGTCAGCATGGCGAACGATATTCGCACCACGAAGGACGTCATAGGGAGGCTGCCCAAGAGTCCGGAAGCTGCGATGCTCGAGAAGGCCCGGAATCAGCTTGAGAGGGCGCTGGAGAATGGTCGCATCAGCATTGAAGAGCGCTACACCCAGGACCTGGTCTTTGCCACCACCATGCTGACCGACTGGCAAATGCTCTCCAATCTCCGCATCTGGGCTGCCTTGCTCATGCGGTAGTCCCAGCCACGCAACGGAGTTCGGCGCAGAGAACGCTCAATCTGGGTGCGTCCCAAACCCCGATGAGCGAGGAGGCCGATTACCCCGCAAGAACCGTCTTCTTTTACGGAGTCTCGGGGGAAACCCTTAGAGTGGCCAATCTGATCTCAGATGCTGCCAATCCTCCTGCGTGCATGGAATTTGGAGGGACCTTCTTCAACGTCAAGAACTTTGCCAAGCTGCTGCACCACCAGCCGAAGGTCACGTCCACACTCCTCAGGTTCCAGGGCCACTGGCGACTTCCTCCCGTCCACGACGTCCAGGAGTACGCCAATGACCTGAATGATTGGCATCTCTCCAACTACAACGTGATGATGGGAGCGTACAATGAGCAGAAGCAGCTGGCTGACTACAATTGGCTGCGCCTGAGTGGCAGTTTGTGTTATTTCATGACAAGTCGCACCATGCCGGAGATATCCCCGGTGTTTAATCTGCCCAAGTTAATCTGGCATAACCAAACATTTCGATCGCCCGGGGAGACCCGCGGCCGAATCTTGCCTTGTTGGTCATGTTGTTTGAGTTTGTTTCTGCCCGCGCTGAGCGCCAGGAATTATTATATCATCATGCTCAAGTGTGTCAGTCTAGGTTCAGGGGGGCTACATACCACATCATCCCAACCCACAATCTCAAACCTACTGCTCACACTAGCATTTCCAATCGATTCAACTTCAAAGTGCCGCATTTCTTTGCTACTCCCAGCGTGGATCCCATCCTCCGTAATAGACTTGATACAATCCTTGCTGATGTCTAACGGGTAGCCTTTTTGTATTTTTGCAGCAGTCGTAAAGACATGCTAAGCAGACGTAAGGCACTGCATGAGGACATAAGTTTTTTGTCCGTAATTTGCTTATATTCGCTTGAAACCGAACTCATCGCGGCGGCACCGGAAAACGAGGGGCAACTCTCCGTCGGTCGTATATAGGATTTCGCGTCTTGCACTGCTTCGTTATGCCGCAAGTTACGCCTACGTGCTCGAAGAGCACCCGGCGAAGGGGGTGTTGAAATCCATTGTACTTTGGACTTGATTTTCCAATTGCATGACATGCATGTCATAGTCAGTCTCATGTATAATCGCATGTTGACAAACAATGACTTTTGCTTCCGCCGCAGCCCTCTGTAAAAGAACTCAATTGCAAGGTTTAACGGTAATTTGTTTGCTTACCTGGAGATCCGCCCTGGATCTTTCTACTATAGCAAGCAAATTGGGAGTGACGGTAACGTATGCACCGCAGGTTTCACACACATATGTACCTGCATACATGCATGCTTACACTACATGAAATCACTCACTGCATTTTGTTGGGTAATGGTTCGTGACATGGTACTTGTACACTGCATTGCAAATGTGTATGATATAAGGTGCATATTTTGAAAGCCACGGCCTAGCTTTGTATACATGGTTGCAGAACGAGGGACGGGTGGTTGCAAACTGTGTTATTGTCTATCAGGATGCGCCCAAATATGTTGTTTTTTTTTGCATATTCCTGTGGACCCTTACGAACTTCCAGCCCGGCTTCAATCTTAAATTGATGAGGTCCAAAAGATTCAGAATACCGCATAGGGTCCTGTGCCACTGTGGAAATGCGCTGTGCCATCGCAGATAGTCTTAGGCTAAAGCTCTAGCCAACCTCAGCTTGAAGAGCGGGCGCTGCCATTTTTCTAGCCATTCAACCGTTCCAACCATGATTTGTTCAACCAAGGCCCTTGATTGCTTAGTTTTGCAAACATATTACATGCTGGTATTCAAGGTCATCAAGGTGGACATTTTGGCCGACGAGAGCGTTCTAAAGGCAGGCCGCCCTGGAGCCAAATTCGTGTTCCGCCATCAAGCATTCGACATTGGCCACCATAGTCCGCCCTTCCATAATATATTTCATGATGCAAGTACGGCTTGGAATACGGAATGCCCAATATCCCTTCTTATTTCCCAGGTATTCGCGTTAAAAAGTCCACGTTATTTCTTCAGCATGCGGCATCGGGTGGTGTTTTGGTGACTAGCGTGCAAAATTTGATGTGTGAAGAAAGAGCCAGTGTGCTGAAGGACATGTGAGAGTAATGCTTCAATACAATTAGTGTGCTGCAGACATTATCTAAGCCTGCATTAGCCATAGACGTTAATCTTCTTCTCTAGCCTCGAATCAGCCCCGGAATCTGGAATTGTGGAATTTGCCTGTCGCCTCGTCGCCTCGTAGGTTCAAAAGCTGTTCGGCCACATGTTTGGGATAACACGTAGGGGGGTATTCCAGGCCAGGCATGCCGCAAATGATTAGTTGGTTGGGCGAGGACTGCCTCTTGCAGCAGGCCTTGTTCGCTGACAGCCGTTCGGGGAGTCTGTTAGTACCTGTTCTCTAGTTACATTGTAATTCGAGGGTTAGTGCAAGCGTGTGATGCCAGATGATCCGCCCTTCGACCGTCTGCGGCTGGCACGAACGGACGATAGAACTAAGATCAAGGCTGCCTTCAACAGAGAGGTGAAATTGACTCCCCCTGACAAGTTCCCCGGGGCCTCTAAGGAGCAGACGAAGGAGCACGAAGCTGCTTTCGCGCGAGTAAAAGAAGCCTTCTCTTTCCTGATCGACCCGGCAAGGCGGCGCCAGTACCTCCAATCCCTCGATCGTAGCCCAGAAAACCGCGATGGCATGGATGCCGCGTCAGTGCCGGAGACGCTCGGCATTTCTCTTGCTTTACTTGCACCGCTGTTGGCATACCAATTTCAGTTGTAATTGTTGGCTGATGATTCATAACCCGATATTACCCCTGATGCTGCTAGCAGTACTTGACTCTCTGACTCTCTGTGGCTGCGCTGTAGTGTGGACTGCGCGGGCGTACTTGTGGGGATCATCATGCGACGGATTGGGATTCATCGCCTGCGCCTCAGACGATACAATCCACCCACCCACTCTTAGATGCCATCACCGGTTCAGACGCCGTTTCATGCTCTTTAGTTATGTGTCTGTTGGCAGTGCTGCTGCATGAAGTCTTTGGTACGAAGTTCCTTTACGATTAGTCCAGCACCCCTGACTGTACTTCCTCGGAGCTGGCCAGCTGAGGGGCCTTTCTTCATATTCAGTGGAGTCGCAAGGAAAGTGCATTACACCCAGCAAAACTGCCACCCAACATTAATGCTTCCTCGGCCAAGGCCAGACGTGGTGCCGGAGCTGACGGACGGCTTCATAAATTTGAGCCTGCGATCGTTGAGGGTGAGGCTACAGCAGGCTCAGCCAAAAGAACTGGAGACGACGCTGAGAGGCCTCAAGCTCCCCGTGCTCCAGGCGTTAAGCAGCTTCATGGGCCAATCGCTATTTTCCCAGTTCAAGAAGACAGACAAGGGCAAAAAGAAGGTCAACAAATTCGGGTGCTGTAGCATCAAGCGACTCGGTGAAGCTAGAAACTGTCTTTGTCCCACCTTTCCGTAACGGGTAGCCACGGGCACTGAGGATCGAAGTTCGAGTGCAGGACTCTGGTGACCTGGACTTCTCAGCTAAATTGGATGCCTGGGACATTGAGCTGCAGAACAAGGTAAAAGAGGCACTGCGCCAAAACCGTGATGCCATCCAAGTGATCAGGGATTCTATCAGGCAGCTGGAGCACGAAGAATTCCAGGACTGGCCGCTCCCCGTGTCTTACGAGAACCACGGCGGTTACAAGCTGCCACAGGTCCAAAGCTTCGATCTCATGTTGCGCTACCGGGAAAAGGTTGTCTCTGCAAAGATGCGAGGGATCCCTGCGAGACATCCCACCATTGCCAAGCTGAAGAGGGAAATGAACAATCAGAAGGAGATATCGCCAAAGAAGGATCCGATTATGGGGGTGATTCGGGAGAGGGAGGGTGTGCGTTCTGAAGGTGTCTCTTTGATTAAACCGTGGTAAGCAGCCGGTTCAAAGTTGTTGCCGTCGTCCTTTCTAATGCTGTTGAATTTCAGCGTGGATGTAGGAGAGCCGTTATCTTTGGCAGTCACGCCTTAAGGCTTTTTGAATTGTGTACCAAATGTCGAACGGACCAGCGAAGTCAGCATATTGCCTTGCCCAGGTTGCCAACGCAACATGACATGCTGGGCATAGAAGGTAGCAAAAGACTGAACATGGTGAAAAACGTGCTAGGCTCCATCCTCCCCAAATCAACGTGATTTGAAAGCCTGTGGCTGCGGACCTGGAACAAATCACAACATCCAAGAAGAGCTAGACTGGGGTTCACACAGTTGCAATCGGTGAAGTGGATGAGGCACGTTCTTGGCAGCTTGTCTAGACCTCTGAAGTGTGACAGTGGCCCTCATATTCAACCCTATTCTGTCGTCGAGTAGTCCCAGCTATCACTGTGGTTGATATGGCCTGCTAGGAGGTACAGCAGGATAAAACAAAACTCACAAGTGGGATGTCCATGATTACTTTACCCATCTTCACCCTATTCAGGAGTCTCATACAGGAGTCTCATAACTCACGAACGATTGCGCAGCAAGTCCCAAACGACCCAGGACCAGCGAGTCCGTGAAGCCCTGGACAAGGAGCTCCGATTGCGCCCTTCAAGCAGCTATGCGGCGGAGTCCGGCAGCGGCCCGCTTCTTCTGGAAGTGCCTAGGCTTGGCTTTGGGCTTCTGGATCCGTCTGGTATGGTTCGTGAAGCATTCCACGCACCTCGATGTCCATTGGCTCGAGCCAGCGCAAGATATCCCATTTGAATGGCCATGAGGCCATCAATAGATGCACATGCAGGAGGAGGGGGTGGGAAAGGATTCTTCCCCTGGGTTGCTGTTAAGGAGCTTGATCCAAATTATTTACCATGCCGTACAAAGGAAAGCATAGTGTTTACATGTGTTTACCATGTATCCATGTTGTGGTAACTTAGGACCCATGTCCTTCAACTTCAACTTCAACAACGACAACAACAACCACAACAGCAGCAGCAGCAGCAACAGCAGCCACAGCAGCAACAGCAACAACAGCAACAGCAGCAGCAGCAGCAGCAACAACAACAACAACAGCCTCCCCAAGAAAGTGCGCATGCGTGGATCCGAGGTTGTTCTGGGCAACCAAATTCCTGGGCCTGGTCCAGCCTCAGTGCCGGTGGCAGAGGCTCCTAAAGGGCTCCCTGGCCAACAGTCGAAAGCACGGGGCCTTTGCCAACCAAGCCTTGATTTGTTGTAGGTTCTCATGAGATACCAATGGTCATTATACAAAGAAACCTTGTGAAGAGTTTCTGTGGACCCCATGACAATGTAGATGTTGTGGGAAGGCTTCTAACCTTCCTACCCAGCGTATCATGCACGCGTTTCTGTACAGACAAGTTGCAAAAACGGATTCTTCTCTGGCCCCACTGTTTGTTTTGGCAGCCCCACCTGACCCTGCACCTTACGGCTTCAAGCTTCAATCAGGATGCTGCTGGTGGGACTGCCAGACAGTGGGAAGACGCTGCGCAGCTGCACCC